GTACAGCAGTCCCTGTTGAATGCCAGAGATGCACAATCATCTCCCTAATTATTTCCAGAGTTTCTGAAAGCCTTGGATGTGGCCCCTGAGCTCCACCAAAAGTTGCTGATCATTAGAAATTATTAAAAATATGAAGAATCATCATCATCTGAAATTAAATCAAATTAATTTGCATCCTAACCCCATCTACTTTCTTGAGGGTTTCCCCAGGAATGACATTCAAAGGTCAAATATGGTTTACAGTATGAAAAATGTTGTGCATCTGTTTTAAGCACATACTCACAGTGGCCTCTTCTTCTGCAGCCACCTCTTTCTCCTTTCCTTGTCCTAGGCCTCCCCTGCCCCCAATTATGTGGGAGAAGGGGAAGGCAGCAATATTTAGGCCCTAGAGGACTGTTCAAGCGTAGTCAGTGATAATATGACACTTTACACACTATTTCCCTTGAAAGGAAAATGAGAGTTGCATACAAACCATCATATTGTCATTGGTAATGCTGGGATTTATAGTCCCAGACTGGTTTTTAACTGCAAAATATGCTCCATCATGTCTCTGCCTTCCCCATGGCCAACCAAAATTACATCCTTATAGCAGGTAAGGGAAGCAGTTTGAACAATTGAAGGACACGTAGTCCGTGAGCAAGATCAACCTTGGAAAACGCCCGTGACTGCCCATTCATCTGTCCCAGAACTCCTGCACACTCATCTTCTGGAATCTCTCTGACCTACTTACCTCTTGAAGGCAATATACGCCACCAGACCCACCACCACAGCTGCCAAAATGGAGCAGTAGACAGGGATGAGGTTATCTGCTGTCCCACTTCGGATGACAGGTTGGGAGCTGCCCATAACTGTGGTCACTGTGGTGGTCATTACAGTGCTCTTCAAAATATCCAGGATCTCTGAACCATTTGTAATAGGAAAAGGACTTTTGGGAATTCCTGGGTAAAAATATGGAAAGGTAAGGAAACAGAAGAGCAATTGGGCAGATAATATGCAAAAGATGAAGTTGCATTTATGTTTATCTATTTTTCCTTTGCATATATGTTATATCCACAATATTGGTGATCAAAAAGCCAGTAGTTAAGATGCGGACTAATGCTAGGGGGACCCAGATTCAAGTCTATCCTTAGCCATAGAATCTTACTGGGTGACTTTTGATCTTTCACAGTCCAGCCTACCTCACAGGGTTGTTGTAGGGAAAAGAGAGAGAAAGAAGTGTTATGTATACCACCATGAGCTCCTGAACTGGGTGGTGGGATAAAAATCTAAACCACCACCACCACCATCACAACAGCAACATAGATTCATGTCTATACAGGAAGTCAGAACTTTGTACTATCCAAATATTTATTAGTGTGCACACACTCATATAATGTCTTCTCATAAGTAGGTCCCATGGGTTTTATGAGGTTTAGTCACAAGTAAGTATATATTGGAGTGCAGCTTCAATCACTTTGAAATAATGCTGTATAATTATGTCATTTCATACCTTCCATCTTTAAGTTAAAGTTGAAAAATCATCCTTTGATTTGATTTTATAATCAGGGCAATTCGTGCACCAAAATGTTCAGCTTTCTAGACAATGTCAAATTCCCTTGGGGCCTAGAAACCCCTTTTATGAAACAGAAATATACAAATGATGCTTTTTTTTTTTTCTTTTAGTAATCTGGGTATTTTTTGTATGGATCTGCAGATATTTACTGTTCTACTTCATGTCAAAGTATCTCAATCATTCTTATATCCTTGTGGGCAAGCAAATAGAATATATCCCTATTTATCATAAGCATTCTAAAAATCTAGAATAAAATAAAGCTAGAGGAACATTTCTACACTGGGATTTTAAAGAATTTGAAGTTCTCTTTCTGGCTCCTAATGAGGTAGCTGATTCTGTTAGTACTTGCAATCACATCATACTATATTACCTGCAAATAAAGCTATCACTGTAAGTTATACTTTCACTTCTATGGCTTCCCTCCAAAATGCTTGGGAATAATAGTTTCCTGAGGGCTTCAGAAATGTTTTAGTCTGTAGTCTTAACCATTTCATGCAGTCAAAAGGCTTCAGAGGACCATTGCTGAAGTCAGACCAACTGAGCAAATTCGGAACTGTTTCAGCAATGTAAGAAAAAGAAAACAAGGTACCATGTTCCACATCTGTGTCTGCATCACTGGTATTGGAATCCATCGGGGTCTTGGTTGCCATTGTAAATTGTGGATTAGTTGCTGCCAAGTAAACCAAGAATTTAACAAAAGAGTGAGAAATTGTGAGAAAATTAGGAATGTATCACATAATTAACATGTAAGTAATTAAGCAAGTGTGAACATGATCAAAAATTCCTATCCCATTTTTGCTGAAACCCTATAATTCCCTCAAAAGAATTTTGTTTGTTTGTTTGTTTAATGATCCTTATAACTGCTCCAATCTGGATGGACTCTGGGGGATGAACCAATGATATAGAATCAAAAATTACACACACACACACACACACACATCAAGACAATGTAATCATTAATTCACTAAAGTTCCTATGGTAGATACCCACAGTCAACCAGGGCCAAAGGTCTGTGGAAAAGGGATTGATTTTACTTGCTGATGAAATATAAGCAGGGTAGGAGCCATATGTAACTTTAGGAAAAGAGAGTTCCAAAAATGCAGGGCGCTGCCAAGGCGGCTTGTTACCTGTCCCATGATTTATGTGCCTCTTGAGGAGGGGAACTCTCAACGACCCTCTCTTGATGTATGGACAAGACAGGCAGATTCAATATTGGCAAGATGTTGCCTGAAATATCCTTGTGCTACATCCCTGTATGGCTTTCAAAGTAATAGCCAGCCCTTTTAATTGGCCCCAGAACTATTACTGTAGTAGTCAATGCAACAACTTCAAAAGTAGTGTTATTCTACATTGGCAGGAGTATCCCACCAGTAATCAAGGTGCTGCATTTTGTACTAGCTGCAGCCTTTGGGTCATCTCCAAAGACACCCATGTAAGGTGTATTGCAGTAATCCTATTGAGCGGTGATCAAAGCAAAATTTACCATTGCCAGAGCATACCAGTCCAGGTAGGGCTGGCTCACCGGGCAGAGCAGGGTGAAGGTGTCAGTGGCCCTGGCTTCCATTTGCTGCTTCAACAGGAGCCAAAAGTCCAGGGGGACATCCAGTCACAAATCAGCTCCTTTGGAGAGAGCATGATTCTGTCCAGAGTACCTACTGGGGCCAATGTTATCAGATTGCTTGCTCCTTTACTGAAGAATAGCAGCTCTATCTTGATAAGTTTTAGTTAGTCTCAGCTTATTTCACCCCATTCAGATCCTCACAGCCTCCAGACAAGGATTCAGGACTTTCATGGCATTTCTGGCTCAGTCCATGGTGGCAAAGCGTATCCAGAAGCATCCATAGTTTTCATTAGAGAACAATGAAACACCCATTGCAATGTTGCAATGCAAGTTCCACCCCTTACATACATGTGTGCAATATTGCAACCCATGTACAAAAGTGGTGGAGCTGGCATCACAACGCTGCAATGTTCATTTCATCATATGCCCCTAGTTTGGATGCCCATACTGATGAAACCTCACCTTGAACGAATGGATGACCTCTCCCAGTGGTTTCAGGTAGATGTTAAACCACATAGGGGAGAGCCCTGAGTCCTGTGGGATCTGCAATGGAGTATCAGTGGGCTCAAGTGCTTCCTTCCTATGACTACCAGTTGGAACCACCCACGAAGGTAGGAGTGGAGTCACCATAAAGTGATGGCCCTAACTCTGATAATTGTTAGTAATGGTTTTACCTTTATGGCTTCCCTCCAGAAAACTTTTGGAATAATCCTTCCCTGAGGAGTTCCAAAATGTTGTTTTAGACTGTGGTTTTATTCATTTCATGCAGTCAAAGTTTTTAGTAGGGTCCTTGTGGGAGTTAGACCATCTGAGCAAATTAAGAACTGTTTCAGCAGTGTAAGGAAAGGAAAACAAGGTACCGTGTTCCACATCTATGATTGCATCTGTATTTGCATCACTGGTGTAGAAATCCATCGGGACCTTGGTTGTCATCGCAAATCTTGGATTAACTGCTGCCAAGAAAACCAGGAAGAATTTAGCAAAAAAGAATGTGAAATTGTGGTTGTTGGGAAGTTTAGAAATGAATCATAATTAGCTAAATAATTAACTAAAGATTTAAGAAACTAAGCAGATGTGGACACACAGAAATTCTTAGCACACTTGTGCTGAAACACCATAATTCCTGCAAGAGAAAGTAGATGTAAAGTAAAGTAAACTCAGAAGTGTGAAACCATTTCCAAAGGCAGGCTGAAGCAGATGTGAAGGAGGCTGGTGTTCCAATTCTCACTCTGCCCCACAGTTTGTGTTATGGTCTTAAATAAGTTGATGTCTTAAGCTTAATCTGTAATACTTAAAGACTGCCAGGTTAGGAATGTTTGGTATGAACAATTCTGAACAGATCACTTTTCCCCCCTACACTGACTAGTAACAATATATATATATTGTTAATATATATATATATCTTTTCCTGTTAAGAAGCACAACAAATTGAAATAATAAGATGGCAATAAAATCACCCAGTGAAACCATTCTAAAACGATTACACCAATAAAATACAGGAAACAATTTTAAAGGTTAAGATTTGCTTGTTTTTCTTGAGAGAAAGGTAGGCAATCATCGTTCTGGAGGCAGCACAAAGCCCTTTCTCACATTTCTGATGCTTAGCCCCTGTGGGAACCTCTCTGGCAAATCTTATTAACTGGTCAGATTCAAAACAAGATAGGTGGTCCTTAGAAAGTCAGAAATCCCACACAATAGCTTCAGAAATGCGTTCTTTCTTTTCAAGGTACTCTCTAATGGCTCTAAATGTGATTGGTGTTCTGGAAAAGGGAAAGAAGAAACCTGGCCTATAATCCCCTTTCTGGCACCTTTTGCCCATCTAACATGATGTGGGTGGATAGGTGGGGAAAACTCTGCATTTGGATGTGTTTCCATTCCGAGGAAGAAACCCAGTGTCCCACAGAGAGAAGACCTTCCCATGCAACTGCAAACTGCCGCTCCCCTTCCCCCCCAGTGGCTTTTATGAAGTTTGGCCGTGCCAAAGGGAATAGCTGTGCCTTCTGCCCTGCAGCCTCTGCAATTTCACCATTTTTCCCCGCCTGGAAACTGCTGACGCCAGAGCAATACTGACTCATCTTCAGACAATATACTTCAGCCATTACATTTCTACCCACTGGCTAGAGATTAGCATTTTCTTCTCTTCTGTAAAGAGAAGGTAAAGGTAAAGAACATCCATTATTTACCATGTTCTGGTTTGAAAGTTACATTTGGCACTACTAACTTGATTGTGGCATCCTTTATCAAGGCCATTGGTCCAATGTCCCACAATTCTGCCCAGCTTGGCTACAATGCCTAAATATGACCAAAGATTCTATCCCGGTCACTCTTGTAAATTCCTCCACCTTGTAAGAGTAGGATTTCTATACAGCAGTCAAATAGGTCATTAAATTAATAGGACGTAGTGCTGGCTCTGCTGTAACAATCCTAGTTCAGTGAACCATCCACGGGATAAGCAAGAATGCTTCTCCTGCTACTTCCCTTGCATGCCTAGGTCATAAAAAACCAACCCAAAAAAGGGAAATAATGGCATAGGAATGAAAAGAAGAAACTCCAAGTGCTTTGCAAAACCATTCTGAATGCAAAGTCCAATATATTTTGAACAAAGTCCTTTCTCAAAATCCTCCTTGTAAGGAACCCAAAGGAAAGACTGTCCAATCTTGTTGGGTGAGATCATAAAACATTTGCAAGAGTTTAACCTTTGGGGTTGACTTACATTTATTCCATTATATTATTTTAAGTGAAGAAAACCAAATAGACTTTTTTGGCAAGGATATCCTGGGAGATCTTCATTGCACAAATTACAACTACCTGTTGAGAAAGGTGGATTTAGTTTTCCACACTTTCAGGCTTATCATTAGCATTTAACTTAGCTTTGGTAACTGGCTGTAGGTTACCAGTTCAATATTCAGTTCCTCTTTTAGCACAACCAAGAGTTATTACTTGAACCCACTGAAATCCTGGCAAATACTGTACTGAGAGCCCTGTTTGTATTTATTTCAATACTTACTTTTAACATTGGGAGGTACAGACGAAAATTACTTGGTTGCAGATAGCATTTTGACTCGTTTACCCCTGAGAAGCTTAAATTAAACATCTAAATCAATGTTTTGGGTAAACTGGCCTTCTCACAACATTATTAATCAGGATCATCTTAGTTTCAAGGAAGCTGTTTTAACACAGAATTTAAAAAAACAAGTTTTATTGAACTCAGAGTGCTCTTGGCAGTATATTCAGTTTAATCATCTGTTATTTGGTTTATTTAGTCCAGATGCTATTGCTGCTTCAGAAACTGTACAGTCGTTAGAGACTTTGGAGGAATTAACAGTGGCTCCTAAGCCAAAAACCCATTTTTATAAGAAGCTGAAGAAAACTGATGAAATTGATATATGATATCTGCGCATCCATTGGAATAGCAGGCATGATGTAGCATCTCTGTAAACAAATAGATCACTGCAAATAATGTGAAATTAGTCTTTGATAATCTTAAAATGAGGTTAAAACATTTTAAAGGTTAAAATGTTTTGTGTATACTGGACACCTCAGAAAATTTTCAATAAAAAATAGTTACAACCACCTTGCTGTTGGAAATGTAATTCAAAAGCTAGAATATCAACCCATATCTTTTGGTTTTATCCTAAATATCTGCATTTGGAGCTGAAATCAGCAGGATTGTTAATGTGACTCTGGATTACCATGGATATTTTATTGTTATATTTACCATAGATGTTCTAACTGCTGTAAGCTGCCATGAAAATGAAATAAAAATTTGCTAGATAAATAAGTAAACAAATTGCATGTTAAAAATGCATCTGTTCCCTTAGCTATATCCAAGAAAGAAGACTTTTGAGAAAAGTGGTCAGTTTTTGGAGTTGTTCTATTTACAACTTAATTTTTCAGCCCCACTCTTTTCTTTTTCCTCTCTTTTTATTCTTATTCCTACTTTTGAAGGTAATACAATTTCACAAATATTGAGAGTACTGTTATATCGTTGTATTTATATTTTCTTTCTGTTCATTCACCTAGCACAATAACATTATATAAAAAAATGTTGGCCTTTTTGGAAAATATTATTTTTAATAAGTTGGGACCCCACTGTTACCCTGAGTGCTACCCTGAGGAGTCATATTGTCAATCTCTGCCATGCAAGGGGAGAAAGAGAAAGGGAAAGTGGGCAGGGACAGGGACAGGGCTCGCACCTGGTCTGTAGATCACTGTTTTTCAGACTGGAGTTATTACATCTGAATCAGTGAAGTTGGAATGCTGGAAACCTTTATAGCAATCTTGAAAGAGAGATCAACATAACGAACACTGAAAGATTAGGCTTGTTGAAGACCGTCCAGGAACTCTGTTGCTCAGCTGGGATCAGAATCAGCTTGCAGATCAAACCACATCAGTTCTGGCGCTTATCGTGTAAGCACATCTGCTTTATTCTCAGATACAGTAGTGGGCATAGGACTGCAATTTTGTTTGGTTTCTTTAAGTCAGCTTTCATTTTGCCCACAGCTCAGACTTAAAACTCTTCTGTTTAACCATGCTTTACTGGATAGACCACAACTGGCTCAGTTCACACTAAGCCATGATATCAAAACCACAGTGGCTGAGTTCACACGTTAAATTACAGACAGTTAAACCACACTATGGCTTACCACAAGTGTGAATATAGTGATGGACTATCTTCGTCTTCTGTTTGCTTGTGTCTGTTTTATTAAATTCAGCCTCTACAGCTTCAAAATACAGCTGAAGAATGGTATACCTTGAAGAGAGCATTTCTTAACTATCTCCCCTTGTTATGCTTTTCTGCAAGCTACCCCTACCCATTTCCTAGTGTTCTTCGTCCCACACATGAAATATACAGACATCTGCATTTTGATAATAACTTCACTTGCTACCATTCTCCAGACTGGCCCATATGTGAAGGCCCAGGCTGACAAGAAATCAATCTCATATTGGAATTCCTATCTTTTGAACAGAAATGTTGCCAAGCAAAAGAGATTGCTTTCCAGGTTTTGCATTATACTGTCAAGTTTTTGCCTTCCACTATGAGGACAACAACACATCAAACAGCAGTTGGGATTCTGAGAATCCCAAGAAATATTCTAATGACTTAATAAGCAAGTATTAGATAATTGGACACAGCTAAGGTTAGGCAGAAGATGGGTCTAATGACACATTTATTCTATTGGCTCTTTTCCAGCAATTGAGAAGAAAGGGGAAAGTGGGATTTGGCAAGAGGATCAGCACCAAAAGCTATATAGTCAGGCCCCTGCTATAGCCCACCACCCACATTTCAGAAGAGAGTCCACTGTTGATCTGGCCCAGATCTTCTCCTTGCTATTGCCACCTGTTTTGCTAGCTATCTCCAAGCACAGGAGGAGGAATTGAGGAGGAGGAGGAGGCAGACAAGCCTCTACTAGCCTTATCTTTACCTTTAGACAATGATGGAAGTTGAACCAAGAAGGAGAGGTCATCTGTGCAGTGGTAACGGTGGCAGGGAGATGGCCCAATCAAATGGGGAAAGTCTACTAAGAACATGTTTCCCAACAATCCTCCAATTCTGAGGTTGATACTGGTTGCCATGTTCAGAACTGCACTCTATTGCTATGTTTCACTGTACAGTTTGCCACTTTCCCTGGAGCAGCTATCAGGAGTTCCTGTTTATCTCCATGCCATAGAAAGCTTTACCTGTTACCTTTTGCAAATCAAGACATGCTCAAGAAACAGGAAGAGAGCAGGTTGATTTCTGTTAGTGTGTTGTCAGTCATAGGAAAAACCCATCCCTCTGTGGGTTAAAGCAAAACAAACCTGCTTCAATGTTTATGTCAAAAGATGGGCTTCAGTTTCTGCTGCCCAAGACAGCGGAACAATTCTGATAGTTACATGGGATTGGAGGAGCCCCAAAAGAGAGGAATGCATCCTGGGTGGTTCTGGCTTTGTTTTCATTTTGTTTTTGTTTTGTATTTTCTGTATTCTAGGAAAAGGAAGATGAGACTACTGGGGGAGTGATAGTATCCAGGGCGGGGGATTGGGAGGGGTGCATGCTTTGGCTTCAGGAGCATATTAAAAAAAATTAAATTGTAAATGGAAAATTGTAATCACAGCCACCTCCCACCAGTGGGGGTTGAATTGGGCATGTCGTTGGCTACATATCTTTTCATACACTTATGCAACTTCACAATATGTTTCCACTTCTGTATTGATTTGTTTATCCATTCAAAGCATAAACCTGAGAGTGAATTTTTGAAGAATCAGGAACAAAAGACATCAGGGACTGTTAACTTGCTTTGCGCTCCTCCAGGGAGAAACATTAGCACAATGTTCGGTGAAGTTCACTGTCTCACTAAGAAGCATGAGCTCCTTGCAAATCTTCTCCTGTACTTGTAGTGTGAATATGTAGAGGAAGAAAGGGATTGCTCAACAGTCTGGTCCTGATGCCACCTCACTGTACAGCTCCTTCCTCAATCTCCTTTTACAGAAGGGACAGTCTAAAAACATGTTCCTTTGGGTTATGTGCACATGCATATCAAGGTGTTGATATGCTCGGGAATTCTGATCATACAGGATGCATAAAACACCTTCAGTTACATCTCTATGGATATAGGCACCCCTTTCCAGATCTTTGGTTTTAGATGTACAGAAAAGGGTAGAGCCAGCAGGATTGGCTATATTTTGGGTGGAGTTCATACTAGGCGTAAATGTATCATTATGACAAAGACAGCAAAAGGGGGCATAGTTTTGCATAACATTCGCACTGTTTCATTAAAAAATACTGAAGTCTATTTAGAAATTATTGCTAGACAATACTGTATAAAGAAAGACAACCATCTCACCACTGAGGGAAACTGTGATCAGGTGACTCGTGTGCTTGCTCAGCCTGCTGCTTGGGGGCCAGCAAAACCTTCTGCTTACTTCTCTTCTTAAGGTTATTTATCTTAAACTGGTTTTGCTCTGGCTCACCCACTGGGCAGCTCCAGCCTCCCATTGGTGGCCATCAGAATCTCCTTGTAGCTGATAACGCCCAATGGCTTGGCTGTTTGATTTTGTTTGTTGAAGGTTCAAGCAGTGGTACGAAAAAGAAAAGTACAAATCAGTGTTCCTTTCCTTAAATGTGCCTAGGAAAGAGTGGTGGGGGAAAAAAAAAAACCAGGACAGCCTGGAGTTGGATTAAAAAAAAAAAATCAGGGACATAGTCCAAAGGACATTTTGCTGAACCCCATCCCTATCCCATTGCTTGAAGCACTAATGCTGGTTGTATATTTCTGAATATCTGCTTTGGGGCAGGATCTCTGCTGCCCAATAGCAGAATTGTGCATATTGTTTAGCTCCATCTCTATGTTGTTAGTTACAAATAAATAACCCAAAGATGACCAATTGTTTTGTCACTAATTAGTGCTCTTCCCAAATAACCCAAACTGTAGTTTAGGGATTACAGTCCCCAGGACTTTTTCACCACTCAGCAAAGTAGGCATCATGTCATAAGAACATTTTGTGGCCCTGCTCCCATAGCATTCATCAGTGAATCAGGGGAGTAACGTATCATGGGAACTCAAGAAAATGGACCCAAGTCAACTAAACTTGGTGGGGTGGGGTGGGGTTAGATTTACCCTGAACTGATCCAGTCTTGCATAGGATTAAACTGATCCCTCCTAATCAACTGTATGGTGGGAGTAATTTATCTACCCAAAGATTGAGATAAAGTCTCTAGACGGTCTGTTTCTCTGACTATATGTCAGTTTTTATACATATACCCCATGGCTCCACAAGGAAGTGCTTGATGAGCAGAAAGAGATGGGAGACAGCCAAGATTGTTGGGCAATTTCTCATTTAGTTTGCCCCCAGCATACAGGACTCCCAATCAATCCCTATATCTAAATCAGAGCAAGCATGCACACCACTCAGTTCAGCGAACAAGAATATAGCTTGAAGTTTATTTGTTACACATCAGCAAACATCAAAAGACTTAACTGGCAAAATGGGACATAAGGCAGGCAAAAACAGGATGAAAAGGAACTGAACAACAGGGAAATTTTTTACATAATCTGCATATCTATACACCTAGATCCAGATGGTCCCAACATTATTGGCCTTCCAGAGGACCTAAAGACCTGGCTTTTTCCCAGAGCTGGGGCTAGGATTTTAGCGGAAGCCCACATGTGTGCTTTACTTTCATGCTGTTAAGCATTTGAGGAGCCTCAATTATTTTAAATATGGTGTGGCCTTTTGGCTTTTGCATGGTGTTTTTCTTGTATGTTTCATAAGCAGCCCAGAATTACCCGGTTAAGGTGGCAGCCACGTACATTTGCTAAATAAATAAATATCTTGAAAAGAGCAGAACTTTTCAGAGCAGCTGGAAACAACACTGTGAGTAATTAGCACAGACAGCCTCAAAGGGAGCGGCCCTTGGTTATTCTGGCCTTAACCCTGCTCTGTACATAACAGAAGCAGCAGAGATGAAAAGTAGGACACCAGCTGTTCCCTCCTCTATTCCGCACCATGAAGGAACTAATTTGGTGGCTGGGGAGGATGTTTCCAACAAAGATGCCCTACCAGCATTTGTCTGGGATGGCACTGACCCTAGCTGTGCCAGCTTGGTTTTTAGCATTATTTTTCAATCTGGTTTGGAAAAGAGAAAAAAGAGAACAGTAAAAATGGCTAGGCCACCCGTAATCACGTGCACAATGACAATTGGGTTGGGTCACTCATACTGTGGAATCTACTTAGGAGTTAGAATTAAATCCCCCACTTTAAAAAAAAAAAAATTGTATAATTACCTCTGCACTTGGCATCTGAAGTTGCGGTACAGTCCTTCTCAATGATCTCGTCCTCCTCACACACTGTGCAGGGGAAACAGGGGTCCACATGGTTGGCTTCATCGGAATATGTCCCCGTAGGACATTTCTCACACCACGTGTTCTGGTTTTCCCCACAGGGATAGACAAGGCCATAGCCCACTTCACAGATGCGGCATTTTTTGCACTTATTGCTCTCATCCCGGTAGAAGCCGTAGATACATTTGCAGACGGTGTTGTCTGATTCCACGCAGGGCGCCAACATGCTCTCCAGGCCCACACACTCTTTACAGGGTTTGCACGGCTCGGTGGCACTCACTGTGTCTGAATAGCTGATGCCTGTAAAGCATTGGAAGGTCAAAAGAGAACTGAGTGGTGGGTTATCAAATGACTGAGTTTGCCACACTCCATTGGACCATAATGGGCTCCTTTCACCGAGACATAGGCAACTCTGGGGAGGCTTGAGACCTGCACCATGTTTATGGGAAGGTCAAGGGCTGAAATGGATGGGACAGTGATATGAATCATCATTCTATCATACATGTGGCAAAACTGTGCATGCAAGATTGGGGAAGGTGCTTGTTTTCTTTTAAATATTTTAGGGCTTCTGTCCAAGGAGGGTAATGTGGGTCCCGTGGACAGCCTAGAGACTTCTCAGAATGCCTGTCAAGCTGACCTTCTAAAAATTATTCTTGGAATGAAAAATTAAATCAAGGGCTGGCATGCTGCAAAATAAAGCACCAATCACCAGCATCACATTCGCTGTCAGTGATGTCATTGGGTTGTGAGGTCCCATGGAGTTGATAGTGAGTATCCTGGGAGCAAGTTCACCTTCTGATAAATGGGTATTTTGTGATTGGTCTGTCAGACTTTGGAGGTAGGCTAGGCCAGGAAACAGATGCAACAAGTTGGACTGGAACTATACTTCATTGAACTTTACTTTTTTGTAACTATTTCTCCACCGTCATCTCCATGGCTCTCCACACAGCCATAGCATCTGTTCTGTATCCATCACATGCTCTCAAATTTCCAAATGGACCCTGGTCTTTAACCTAATTTACTCTAAAAATAGGAAAACATGGCACAATTAACACTTGCACCACAAGTGGAGAAGGCTTTAGAGATACAAAAATGGGTTTTAGACACTCAGCTTGCTCACTCCTGCTTTAGCAGAAGATTAAGAAGGGGGAAAGCACGACTTCTGCTCCCAAAGCAAAAGCAGTCCACCCTCTGGAGCCTGATAAACTTTTATGGTGGTGATCACAGGTCAGGTGCTAAGATCTACACCTAACTCTCCTTGGACACTTTTGGCTGCTGTAGGCATACCTCCTCCACTCTGGTCACTGGGGCCTGCCCTCCACAGCCATTTTGGGTTGGGCAACAAGAGAGATTAGGCACCTGGTTTCCACAGAGGCATCTGACCTCTGATGGTTATATCTGTGTTTAGAAAACAGGTGAATGCTGTCTGCATGGGAAGTCAATTTGAACCAAGAAAAGGGCTGGTTCTGCCAGCTGTATGTTGCTGGTTCTGTTCCAAAGGAGTGAATTCCAGTTTTCTGCTGCTTCTCCTAGCAAGAGAGGGTTGTTTGACTGTGCTTTTTACTGTTTTTATCATGGGGGAAGGGTGCTGTTTTGCCTATCCAATTTTTTGTACTTTGGGGGGAGGTGTCTTTTGCCTCTCATTGTGCCCAGCATTTGAGATGCTTTGGGCCTGGAGAGAAATTGACAAGAGTTTGGTCAGTTTTCCCCTTCTGGCCCAAGTGATGGGTCACAGGCAGAGCTGAAGGAAGTAGGGGAGGTAGAAGTACCCCTGATGCTCCTCACAACCCCTCTACCATGCCTGTAACCTGACCATGCCTGTGATCTGACAGGACAGGCCTGGGATGACTGGAGGGAGTTGTCTTGATGTGCCATACGAGTTCCTTCCTACTTCACCTCACATGTCTCCTCCCCCAACTAATCTGTGATCCAGGTTATTTCTGGACATGGGTTTACCTGTCTTCCAGAAGACCAGTGGACCTGTGTTCTGTAGCAGCTAGAGAGACAGGTTGCTGTGGTGGAGCACCTATGCATTAGCAACCTGTTGTTCCGTCCCAGGCACCCCCTACAGGTGTCCAAGTCTGCCCCGCCATATGTATGGAGAGCAATTGGTGATATTCCTCCCACTGGCTGGTGACACTAGGTGGGGGGATGGGGTGGGGAAACAAAGCCAGAGAAAACCACCAATCACTGCCCTTAAGTTGTCCCACAGTAAAGCTGTAAGGACAGAAGCACTCATAAACCCCTCATGCTTACACTTCTGAGGCTGAGGTTAAGCAAGCACACTTGATGCTGCTTTACTTGACAGAAGTTAGAGCAGGGTCATTGAAGCTTGATAGGCTAATATTTCTAGGGGTTCTGACATTGGAGCGTGTGTCAGTTTTGTGGGCCCAAGAGAAAGCAATTTTTTCCCAGATACGCATTTTTTTCCTCCTGAAAAGTAGTGCTAACTTTCACTCCTGTCTTTGGCATAGAAATTTGGCGGTGTGATTTCTGGGACCTGGGAATTGCAAAACAGGAAGCTACATGTTACAAACTGTTTAGACTTATTTAATCAAGGTTCAACCTCTGTTGACAAAAAAATAATAACAGGTAATCAGTTCAATGGAAAATGTTTGCCTTTTCTTCCCCCCTTTTCCCCTCAAACAGCAAGATTCTGGTAGATTAATTCAAAAACTTTTTTTTTTAACAATACATCCATGTTTAATTGAAGGAACCACAAATCTCCAGCATTTTAATGCTCCTAATCTCTTCTTGGCCTTTGGGGTAAGATAAAATGTGGTAGGATTTTAACCTTCCCAGACCAAAGCACTTCCCCATGTCTATTGTTTAGTTGCTATTCTCAGAATGTCTTTGTGGGAACCTTAGTCTCAACCACCAGGAAAAACTAGTAAAAAGGATGTAAAAGACCTGCATTGGTCAGTAATACAGAAATTCTATTTAAATATAAAAACTAATATCTAATAACCCCCCCCCCTCCAACTTAAACCTTCAGATCCAGTGGTCACCATCACCTCTTTTGGCATGAATTAGATGAATTAGATACACCTTGTATGAAGGAGTATTTTCTTTTGAAATTTCTGAATCTGTCAACCAGTTTCACTGTAAAACCTGAATCCCAGATTATGGGATAGGAAAAAAACATTTTTCTTTCTCCACATGAATTTTTGTCTGCTCTCTTAGAACCAAACCAACCATGCTATAGAAATTTAGCTATCAAATGCTTGGTTTCCCTACTTTGCTAAATAGAAGCAGTTGTAGGAACTTATTGGAACTACGATGGGAGCAAAAAGGTTCAGTTATATGATTTCTCAGTGCCGTGGTCTTACTCCCAAACTCTACTCCCAGGTTGCTCTTACTTAAGAGTAATCAAGTCCTCAGTGGCTTATTTTATGCTCTACACAGAACATGATAAGAACATAGAAAGAACCCTCCTGGACTGGGGGAAAAAGATCTGTCTAGTTGGGCATTGATCTCACAAAGCCCAGCCAGATGCCCATAGGAAGACTTCAAGCAAGACATAAATGGAACTTGTATTTCCCAGTAACTGGTACCAACTCTCCAAAATTGGAGGTAATATTTAGAAATTATGACTAACAAGCATGAATGGCTTTAGCATCCATAAACTGGACTAATTCTCTTTGTTCATATTAGTGGGCATCATTACCTTTTATGGTAGTGAATTCCACAGTGTGGCTGTGCACTCCTTCAAGAATAATTTCTTTTTAATCTGTCCTAAATCTCCCAATATTTAATTTCATTGAATTGACCTTGGGTTCTAACATGAATCATATCCACTATGTCCACATACGTACTGTATTATACATAATTATGTTAGGTTATCCTTTATTCAACTTCTTTCTCTTTAAGCCAAAAGCCCCTGAATCATAATAAAGTTCTTTGGTTTTATATGTAATATGTATTTTGGCTATGACAATGTAATAGTAATTCCCATAGAATTTAATAAGTTTGTTTCCAGAAATTGCATATAGGAATGCAATTCTATACTTATTTGCCTGCAATTAAGTGCTAATAATTCCATAAAGTTTATTGTTGGATAGACATGTATGAATGATTGACTATGTGCCATCAAGAGTCCTGACTCTTAGTGACCACATAGATAGATTTTCCCTGGGATGAACTATCCCCAGTTTGGTCCTTCAGATCTTCTAACAATGCATCCATTGTCACTGTAATTGAGTTCATCCATCTTACTGCTGGCCATCCTCTTTTTCCTTCCACCTTTCCCAGCATTATAGACATCTCAAGAGAGCTAAGTCTTCACATAATGTGTCCAAAATATGATAATTTGAGCCTGATCATTTGTGATTTGAGTGAGAATTCTGGGTTGATTTGTTTGTTTTCTTGGCTATCCATGGAATTCTCAGGTGTCTTTGCCAAAAAAAGTGAGATGCTTTTGAGATCACAATTTACTACTGTAGTCTTTTTTTCTTAAACTGCAGAACTAAGTCTACCTTCACAGCTTCCAATCCTACTGTCTTTTGCTTGGCACTTCATGCACCATTCTCATGTCCATAGCATTCATTTAGAATGGTATGATCACTCAGTGGTATTTTCAGGGCTGAGAGGTAACCATGGATTTCAGACAATCCTTTCCCAGTTACTCTCTGTCACCCTCAGTTTCCCTTCTTCTTAAGGTGAAGAATAAGAACAGAGGGAGAAAGAAAGAGAGATCTAGCCAGCCAACCAGCAGATTTGAATGGGTGGGTGGGACATGTTCTCATCTGTTTTTTGAAAAATCAAAGATGCCTATGATTCAGACCCTCCAGACTGTGGGATCCTTGACCTATGGCAATTGTTCAATTAATCACTGCCAGATCTAGGCACTTAAATAAGTGTCCACATTATAAATTGCTATCGAGACACTTCTGTTTCGGCCATATTATTTTATCCTCTTTTCAAACAACCCAGTATTATCATGCTAAATAAGGATAAGATAGCCCCAGTTGAACATACTTTCAAGAAAGCGGCAAACTACCAATTCTCCTAAGTATATCCCTTGCTTGCCCCTTCAGATCCTCGTTTCATCCCCAAATTAAGCAATGCCTTGTGAGTCCTGAAGGAGGGAAGAAGATGTGTAACTGTGTCTGGAAGGCAAAATTCACTTGCTATTAATTGCTGTATAGTTATCATCTGCTCATATCAATAAAATTGACCTGATTCCTTCACAAAGATCTCATAGGATGAATCACACACCACTGAGTATTATAAAGTGCATTTCAGTGCCTAAAGAAGCCATATATTATGATTTAATGGGAAGTTAAACTAGTGGAAGGAGC